GCAAGGCGATATCATCGGCGCAGTCCAAGTCCGTGACTCTCTCCAGGGAGGAGCTCAACACCGCAGTCCTGGACACCTTCCAGTGCTCTTTGGACAACATCTTCGATGGGGAAATTGAAGAGGAAAGGTGAACTAGGGCAACCTTGGCGAACACCGCTGGTCACAGCAAATGAAGCAGAGAGCGTGCCGTAAGTCCTGACTTTTCGCAACGTGTGGCTGTGAAGTTCTTTCATGATGGTTACAAACTTGTCGGACACATTTTTCTTCAGTAAACAGTTCCACAACACATATCTATCCACTGAATCAAATGCCGCTCGGATGTCCAAAAACACTACGATTGTTGGCCGCCATTGGATGTGACAAAGTTCGAGGAGTTGGCGGAGCGTGAAGATTTTGTCAATGCAGCCGCGACCTGGACGAAATCCGGCATGTTCTTCTCGGGAAAACTCCTCTCTATTCGTTGAAAGCCTGCGAAGTAGGACCGACACGAATATTTTGGATGCGACAGAGATTAACGAGATTCCGCAGTAGTTGCAGCAATCGTCGCGCATACAGTGCTTTTCCGGGCATTTGATAGCTGTCTGAGTAAGTCTAGATGTAACGAATTTCTACCTGTCCCATTCAACTCCCCCTGCTACTGCTTTATAATCAGTACGCAGACCAAACCACTTATAATGCCATAGGTTAATTGGCGGCTTAAGTTTGGTACTTTCGTCGCTTGGTGAGGGGGCTACCCTGTTCTCTGCACGGTAGTAACGTGCAAGTCATTGAATATTGAGCGGTCTTTATAGTGCTCATTGACAAGACAGTGACCACTACTGAAGCTTGTTGAGTGAGTGCTAGCCATCCAAATTTCGCAATCAGGATCGAGGATATTCCAGCTGAACCGTTTAATGACCCATACGGCAAGGTAGATCTCAGTGCTTCCAGTCCAAACTAAAACCTATAGAGGAACCTTGTTGATGCCGACGTAGGAGGGACCGTTTTGGGCCGCCGCGACCTTGATAGAAGATGGGCAATCATGGAGCGCCGGGACTGTATTTTTGGATGAGGAACAACAAACCTTCTGGTAGCGTTTTTTCTTTCCATAATCCTTGCAAACAGCTGCACACACAGGGGATTGAGTTCGACTATGTCTACTGAACTTGCAGAAGAAACACGCGCTATTCGATACAGTAGCGACGACATTGTTACCCTTGACTAATGAGGCACTCTATGCCTACAGAACTTCGGATTGTTTTGTGGTAGATACACCATGATTAGTATGACTGTGACTAACGATAAGCCATCTCGAGCGATCGGACTTGTTTAAAAGTGGTATGTATATCGCGTCGCACATTTTCCAAGTGCCGTTGGCGTATAGTTTGAAAGTGAAGCCCAGTTATGAACGCATCTCGAATGGAATGTTCACGGTCCTCTGCTGTAGGAGTTTTGAAATTACAATCCTGGGTCAGTGATTTCAACTTTTGCATGAAGTTGTTCAGGGTTTTGTCTTCTCGTTGCTTGCTAGTAGCTAAGACATGAGGTGCCAAGATCTCATTTTATGGCATCATATGTATAGTTCTGCGTGTCGATGACGAGTTATCCACTCATTGATGTAGTCGTATACATCAGGAAACACGTAGTTCTCCAAATTCCTCAACTTTCTGAACGGTAGTGAGTGGACGGAGTTCAAATGGTTAGTGTATGTATCAAACTAATGGATCCACTGTTTCACCATTCTTGGGGACTGGCATCGAAATGTTCTGGCTGGAAGACTCGATCCATTGCTTGCTGAATACACTACTGGAGTTGAATGGGAAGGAATACGACGAGTTAGAAGAGTATAAAACGGAGAGCTTAGTCTTCGTTTGGCAAGAAAGTAAGCCATATATGATGAACCGAAATGGTAGACAAGTGAGAACTGAGTTCTCATGTTACTGGTCATCATCAATCCTGAGGTGGGAAACACTGCCATTGTGCTGCAATACATGAGAAGGGAAAAAAGCAACACACGCACTCCAGCTGAGTCACCACTAACTGATGGGCATCGTTCCGGAGAGCTAACAGCCGGCTATTGTGCCTCAGTAAAGTTATTATGCCTAGGCAATGAGATTATGGTTGGAGGGGAAGGCGTGGCAGGAGGGAGAGGGACGAAGAAACTCACAACACAAACGCCACTGAGGTCAGTACCTAGCCATGTCAAGTGTATCCAGCCAAACGTGTTCCTCATCTTTCGCACCCCAATCATGGAGCCGAGAGGCTCCCACCGAGGTCAACTTCCAACTAGTGGTCTTCACTTTGTTCTAATCTTCTCACTAGACGCAATTCCAAAAATAAAAATTCACTGCTCCACAAAACTTCTAGCCCAACCGAAGGAAAAAAGCAAAACGCCAATGAACTTGACAAAAAGATGTATTAATCGCCGCCAACAAACACTACAACGACTGCGGACCTTGGCTGTATTTATAGGTCTCTACTGACCTTCGACTTCTAGAATTGGAAGGTCAGCTGCCAAGGTTAGTGGTTTCCCATATCTTTTGCCGAGGGGTCAGGTGGATTTTAATCACGTGCAGAAGAAGAACATTCCGGAACGTTCGAAATCGATGCGATAATCGTTAATAATCGATTATTTGCTAAAATAGGGAATTTCCAAGGCAATTCTTACTTTTTCCCGGACACACTTCTCCTAACTATGTCGGTTTGCCTCCTTTCCCCTTCCTCCTATTCACACCCTGGTCGCACAAACAACGCACGTCGCGGAGTTAGTGTGCTGGCATGCGCAACACGCCCCTTAGCCATCGGAGCCTGGTGTGCGATCTAACGGTTCTGAGCGGTTCACTTCCTCTTTCTGTTCTATAAACAAGGCACTAAACAAGCTCATTGTTCACGCAGTGTTTCCACCAGATCTGAGCCAAACCGTGAAGGCATCGGTGCTCAAGCATAACAAGGCTCTTTATGTCCTTCAACCGCGTAAGTCAGGTTTCGCAACCGTACAGTAGGGTCGAACGTACGGCTGCATTGTAAACTCTACTCTTCAGGAACAGAGTGGTTTTGCGTCGGCGCTGTAGGTGGCGAACGTTAGCAAAAGTACCTCGAGCTTTTGGTATACGGTTTGTGACACCCTGGATTCTACAAGCGTTGATACAGCTGCTTAGGTACTCGAATTTCTGGACGGCTCCTAGCTGATCCCTACCAAGGGTCAGCGCGAGAGGCGGTCCCTGCCAATGTTGTAGGAAAGCTTTGCACTTTGAGTGTGCAATGCAAAGCCCGAAACGGCTGACAGCCATTGCTAATCTGTTCAGTGCAGCTTGGCACGTTTGTGAACTGTCACAGATGAGGCGATTTTCGTCAGCATACTCCAAGTCAAGAAATGTTCACTTGGGAGCGGCTCTACACTTAAGTCGTGTCCTGTGAACGCGATTTCCATGACTTCGGCAATAGCGAAGTTGAAGAGGAATGGTAACAGCGGGCATCCCTGTATTATACCGCTGGAGACATTAAATGTGGCGACGGTTAGCCGGAAGCTCACACTCTGCACGAGCTACGCGCGTATGACACATGGATAATGCTTACTTATTTCTCGGGCACACCTTTCTTGAGTAGACAGTTTCAAAGGGCACATTGACCAGCCGAATCGAAGGCACCTTTGATATCGAGGAACACGACAAGGGTAGGTTGCCAACATATTTGACGGTGCTGCAACAACTAACGCAATGTGAAGATGTGGTCGATGCAGACTCGACGTCGACAAAGCCCGGTTTGCTCTTCACGAATCTTGCTTTCCCGAGTGTCAGTCAACCAGTGAAGGATGACGGAGGCAAGCAATTTGGAGGCAGTTAAGCTCAGACTGATTCTTCAATGGTTGCGGCATTGCGAACGTGAGTCTCTTGAAAATTGGGACAATAACGGGGCGCATCCAGCCTGTCGGGACAGTTTCCTGCTCCCACAGTTTCACTAGTAGCTCGTGTTAATCATCAACAATAGTAAGTCTCCTGAACTTGTAAGGGGCTGGATGCAGATTATCTGATCCCGCGGTTTTATTCAGCTTTAATAGTCCGATCTCACGTTCGACTTCTGTGCGCGAGGGCCGGTTTAAGGGCATGGTCCATAGAGAAGTGCAATTATTGCCTGATGAAGATGATAACTCATACTTTTCAGTGTTCGGCCCAACGTGTAAAGCATCTTGACAAGTCGCGGATTGATTGTCCATTTACGTCGTTTATGGTCTCGCTAACACCAGGTCTCCTGCTGCTAGTTTACCGCATCAGACTGAATAACGTACGATGGTTACCAACGGCAGCGGTTTTATCCATTTCCGACGCACAATGAGACCACCAGGATGTGCGGTCTCTTTTCAGACTAGCACGGACTTTTGCCCTGAAGTCTTTGCAAGTCTCATTGTGTTAATTTCTAGCCGGAATATGCCGGCAAACATCGTTAAGTTCCAGAGACTGCGAAGAGACCCAATGTGTTTGTTGGCTATTAGATTTACCACATGGGTATTTAACTGCTGCTTGTAAATTTTGGTGAACATGCGACCAGTGGTCTTCAACCAGCTAGTGTTTTTTCGCTTATGGCATCGTTGCGGACATCAGTCGAAACGCACTCACAGATCGCCACCCACACATGAGCATGATCGGAGTCCACTTTCGTGCTCGAAATTGAGCGACAGTTTTGGGACACAATTTTTCAGCGGTAAATGATCTCGGTGTGATCGATTTGCGTTCATGGCTAGTCCGAGCCTAGTGGGCGCCATGTCAATCTTCTGCGGGCACTGTGGGAATTTAGTGCTCATGAGAAATAGCTAAGCATCTTCACACAAGTGTAGCAACTGCTTACCGTTGTCATTATGAGATCCTACACCGTGTTGGCCGCCCGGATGAAGTTCATCAGTGGACAACCTTTTTACTTGAGCTTTCAGATCACCAGCAAGCACCAGGTTAGTTGTGAATTTCCTGTAACGAATGCGCTTGTTTATTTGGTGATAGAAACCATCATACACCCAGTCAATGCTACAGGTCACGATGAGTGTTGATCATAAGAAGCTTCTTGATTCCAGCTTCAACATCTAGCTGCAAATAGGTATCCGCAAGATCTAGGGTAGCAAAGTATTTGCCTTTGTTCAGCTTCGCGAACGGTTCTTTAGGAAGTGGAAGGGGTATTAATGGGGTTCCATTGCAGCGTTCAAACCAGTCCACACACAAGCGGAGAGAACCGTTCGGTTGCTTAATCACAGCCCATGGCGAGAAATTGATTCGTTTCATCACTCCAGCCTGACACGATTGGTTAAGCTCCTATTCAATAAATATTTGTGATGCATAATAAACCGGGTACCTAGATCGAAGCACTGGACTTGCATCAGGTAACGGAGTAAACTCCTTCTGCATCTCTCTAGTGTCTGTCCTTGGATTTGTCTTCTACCAGTTCTTGCTACATGACTACTACCAATCCTGCACTGACGGTATCACCTCGAATGGTGACGAAACGTTTGCAGTCAAGTTGCTCAGCTCGGCAAACACCACAGTAACTGAACAAACCTTCCGAGCTACCAGTATTTCAAGTAATTTCGAAGTCGATTGTGAGATGAGGCGAGTAACTACCGAGACTGTTTCACTGGTTACGTAGTCAAGTCTCACGCTCCGCTTTGCCAGGCGCCTGCTATCCTGTCTGATCTAGTACTCGGAGTCAGTTGGATTTCTTATAGATTTCAACAAGTTCATTATTTTTTCGGTTATTTGACATACGGAGCACTAACGACTGGCAGTAGCGCAGACGAAAGCCTCTGCGCTGCACATAGCAGCAGATTAGCAGGTAACACCTAACAAAGATCATTTTATCGTACTCTCTGATATCCGCCGATTAGTTCCATACTCTTGAGAAATTTTCTTAGCTACACGTTTATGGAACTCGCTCGTTATTTTTCAGGTTACTATCCTTTACCGCCATGTCAGCTCACCGAAGAAAAAGTCATGGAATGATCACACGGTTAGACAAGTCATTAGGGTTGAACTTATCGACTGACGATTGCCTTTCCGAACATTTCGATCACTCGGAGAGAGTAAGTCGATGTACTTCTTTGTTAGGTGTACCAGATATGCGGTTTTCCTCCCTGGTCATCCTGTCTATTTATATTACCGACGTTGCACCGTTGCTTCACTTCTGTCCGATTTTTGTACCTTTGTGCCTGACTCTTGAAAACAAATTGTCCTCACCCACCATTGTGTTTTGGCGTCATGCCTCTTGGTGTTCTTTACCACGCTTGTAGGAGCCTCACTCCACAAATATCCCATGAATCTGATCGTTCCGAGTAGTACGGTTGCTCTGAGGCTCAAGGAAGTATCGCTCACATTTCGATGTTCACTTTCCAGTTGTATTGTTCCTAAATGCGTCCTTTGCTGAATCGCAATTCAAGTCCCCTTTATCAGTTTTTTGGACGACACCTACTGAGCACGTGAAAATCTGTTATAGCGTTGGCTTCTTCGTAATGGCTTGATCCGATTATCTCCAAGCTTATTGTACCGCCACTTTTTACCCATACCATAGTAGAGGTATTACTTGTCAAGCGCTCAGCTGTTGGTTGTCAGTCACAACCAGTGAGTGCGTTTCGATCACAGTGCCATGCTGATCTATCCTAATACCATCACTTAACTTGCGTCCCGCGCAGTAGACCTCGTGTCATCACTTTTATTGCTTTGGTGATCTCAGAGTAATTCATGTTTTCTTGTTTTTATTTCTGTGTTGATCTACATGGTTGTGCTTCTTGTGTCCATTTCTTTCTTGTTCACTCATCACATACGGTTCCTGGTGTATAGCCATGCTGCTTCTAGACCAAGTACATGTGCGGTGCACTACTTATGAGTAGTAGGGATACCAACGAGGACGCACAAGGGAAACTGGTAAATCATGTGATGCCGGCAGGCGAAGATGTGATGGATAATCAACCGGACGACGTACACGAGAGGCACGAGGCAATCTAAACAGATGCTCTTTGCATGAAAGGTTGCAACGGCGCATCGCTCCGGCAAGGCGCCGCAAATGTCATGCGCAAATTGGACTCGCGTTCCTATGTTCGAGTTATTGTTAACCAGACATGCGCTGTTCAGTAAACTACTTGTCCTCCCCTCGTTGCGTTCTCAACATTTGGTGCCGTGACAACTGCAAGTGGGAAATGAAGGTTCCGTGGCCGGAGCCCTTTGTGTATGGCGATGTACGAAGTTTTTGGAGCACTTCGCGGATGTTGCAGAGGCAGTCGGGGTGAAGTTGGCTGCCCTGCGGAACCTCCTCAAGGGCAGGGCGAAGGCTATTCTGGATGCGGCGGGAAGGGGCCCTGTCAAGTTGGAATAGGCCGCAGCGAAGGAGACATTGGTTGCGGGGTTCGGCGGCCCGGCCGACCGGCAAGACGCCATGCGGCGATTCAATGCGGGAGCGGGAGTGGACCCGTTCGCGATTCACATCAGTGAATTGCTGGCCCGGGCGCTGCCTAACTTGGATGACGAGTCAAGACAACAACTGTTGGTGGAACAGTTTTTGGATGGTCTCCCTCCGACGGTAGCCGATCGTCTCCGGATTGTAAACGCCACCCAGAGAACTGGCGTGATGGAGCTTGCCCAAGTAGCGAGGGAGCTTACACATGAAGCAGTTGCTGCTTTGACAACGGAAGACAAAGCAAAAGAGGAGCGATTGAACGAGTTAGAAGATAGACTGGAAAAGATTACGCAAGACATCGGGGCACTTCGAGTTCCCTCAAAGAAGATACGGCTAAATGGACGCTGCTTCATTTGTGGGAAACTGGAACACTGGAAGTGCCAATGTCCGTCAGATCGCAGTGCAGCCTTTTTACGAAATAAATGCCACCAGTCGTACTGTTCTCGTGCTAGGGATTGCATCCTTGGGGCGTGGAATAAAGGTGAATGGGAAAGTGAAGAGTTATCTGATTGATACAGGAGCCGCAGTTTTCTTAGTCACAGAGATAGGGTGAAAACTCAATCTTGTTCATGGTTGTGAAGACGGTCGGTGGTTACCATATACGCATAGATGGTATGGCGGAACATGTGGTTGGCGTTAGGGGTCGAAGTTAAAACATCTCTTCATCGTGTCGCCGGACACAAAGCAGATTATCCTGGGTGCTGACTTTCTCCAAGTCAGTGAAACAATCGTCGACCTGAAACGAGGAAAGCTGGTTACAAAATACGGAGCTATCCAGCTTGTTGGCAGAGAATAACCCATGAGGGTGGGCTCGCTGGTGAGCAAATACGATATCCATACTACTCATAAGTGGTGCACCACACATGCACTATTACTGTCAGACCCCCGCTTCCACTTCACCGCCCAACAATTCTATCCTTTTCTGTCGCTGCATCGGTTTCGTTGTTTCTTTGTGTACTTGTTTTTGACGTCTGTACACCATAGTAGCAACTGAGGGCGTTTACGCGACTGGATTCACTAAATTTGGGCATCAGGATTGTGTTTGACCAACTGGCTGAATTATGCGACGATCCGCACCTCTCTGACGGCGTGATGCAACAATCACAGAACGCCTTCCGATCGCTACCAATTCAGCTTTTTTTACGAATGCAGAAAATGATATCAATTCTCTCATATCCACTTTACATGGTGAAGCATTCGCAAAGCTGATTGACCCATCTATCGTCTACCCATGAACACTGCATGCTCCGTTAACCGGATTTGATCCATGCCAAATTGGTTTCTCACAAGCCCTTTGGAAGTTGTGCCAAAGGAAACCAGTTCGAAATCTCCTTGCTATTGCGTTTGCTGCCACAGAGAGATTGAGGTGAAGCCCGATGCCAAATTCACGTTGAACCTATTTGATGTAGATACGAAACGCCGATGCCAAATTCCAACCCAATTAACTTTTATACCAACAAGTGGACGTAAGTTACTTGCGAAGTGTGTGGTTTTCGGCCATATTGGTGAACTATGCACAGACGCCCCCGGTCATAACCCCGCTATTGCTAAACGTAGCATCTCATCTTGTTATTCTACTTGTTGTGCTTCCTGATGGACGCCCCTAAGCTACTCCCTTGCTTCGGTGCGGGCATATGCGTAGCATTATACGTCAGGTCAAAATTGATTCCCCCAGACTGAGCCCTTCCTCCATGCGTTGTCCTTATGCACATATAATCTCTTCCTCCTCCATGCCTTACATGATCCTGGTTACACTCCCAACCAACCATCAATGTCATGAAGCAATTTTTCAATCTACTACTCTAATCCACACTTATTCACCATCCTAACGAAGCGGTTAGCTTCGTTTTCGGCATTCTATAAACCTATAAACACTATGTTCTTGGATCGCTGTTTTGTCGCCTATAGTCAGCTGGGTCCAATCCGTTCTCTCACACCGTGAGGCTACTCAGTGGCACTGATTCTATGTGCCATTCGTTGATTATAGGGAAGAACGTGCAACCAGCGCTCTTAACTCCTTTTCTTGGCGGCCAAGTTGAGCTCCGTGCCGACACAACTGCTCACGCAGTGAGAGCCTTGGGATGGAAGCTGGACCCTGCCGGTCTGTAGTTTCGGCGGCCACATTCACCAAGCCACTCACTGGATGTTATATTGTTTGGCGCACGAAATCTGTCGCCCTATAAGTGGCTGATGAGTGCAATGTGCCTCGCCAGTTCAGAACCCTGCATGAATTAGGAGTGATTAGTCGATAAGGGAAAAATCTCACAGCGTTTACATGTGTTTAGTCCAGTGAAACATTTGCTTCCAACTGGCTAATGATCAAGGCAGCAGCGAGCGGGCAAGAATCACATCCAATCAAAAGGCAGCGTATAGAGTCACTAAATCATTTAATATTGTTTTGTGCTTGCATTTACAATGATTATAGTAACGATTACAACACGGTTTGGCCCCAATACTTCGTGTTACCAGATGTTTGTTTTTGCTTTGATGTTGCAAGACCTAGATCTCCGGTAACGGAATACGGCCTCAAGAAGGACAAATCGGATCACTCGCAAGCTTATAAAGGCATCAAGCTTAATGAGGAGTTTGCCGTCGGTACCCGTGCATTTCAGGTACGGGAACGAGAATAGGATAGGTCTTCGAAGTGCACCAATACTTTGTCGCGTTTCGTTGCCATCCAACTACAAGAGATTGTGCACAATCTGGGATACTGTTGAGAAGCCCAACTAAATGAAGGTGGGAGATCTCGAACCCGGGATGTGAGCTTATGATGAAAGCATCATGGTTTCTGCTAGCGCCTTTGGTCATGTCACACCATGGAATTAGAGACAACGAGAGGCATGTGCTATCCAACCTTTAGTTTGTGGACGAGGAACTTGGCACAGTCCAGGAATATTTCGATGTACATTGTCACGATCAGGGCATTTCTAACCTTTCCAACTCATTTGCAAATCAGAAGAATCATTGTATTAGTACAAAATCGTTCTGGGACAGTTAGAAAATTCGTGCTGTTACTGCAGCAATATTTGATACAATCCTATTCGAAATATGTGTACTTTTGGTACCAGAAATACATTATCGACGGGGAGTTTGCTGGAGATTCTTATTCCCATCCTACCAGTCAGTTGTTATGCACGACGATGGAGAGACGAAAGGACAGGAAATGAACTAGCCCACTTTAACAGAAAAGCACTTCTATGAAAGAGTACACGAAATGCAAAAAATGAGCCATTTTGTAAAAAGCGAAGTCTTCTGCAACCACTGCACCCGAAAATGACGATCTTCGTTCTATTGTTGAGTCGAATGTGCCTTTGACTCCATCTTGTAAGACACTAAGACGATGTCAGTTAGACTCAGGGGAATGTTACATCGGTCCGTTGATGAGAAACATCGGATGCAATAGTCGCGAACTCAGATCATGACTCGGAACCCAGCCAGCACCGTCAAAAGAACTACATACTTTATCGTTACCAACAGAGGTAGCGGCTTAACCGAATTAATTTCATTGCTCATAGTGTACCAAGATTCAACACCTTTCCAGTGCATCGACAATCTCTAGGGATAGACTCTGTCACCAGTTACCACACCTCTTCGCTTGTTGGATTTACCAAGTTTTCTGGTTATCCTTTCATTTTTGCTTAAACTCTGGTACATATGCTGAGTTCCACTTGCCTGTCGATTGGAGATGGATACGGCACCTGCAGCTTTACCAGCAAGCGAAGTTCCGTTAACCGTGAACGAAAAATTCAAGAGTGAGTTGAAAAATGTATTGGAAACGTGAACTGTTTTACCAATTGAAGAACACTCAGAGTGGATAAACCAAGCATCCGTTGTATTAAAAAAGTTACGGGCCCTTATCTGTATAATGTTTCGAAATCGCTTAATTCCGTATTTCGGTGGAAGGTGACAGCTTGAACCGGACGAACCGTCTGGTTATTTGACGATGATTAACGGAAGGCGGATCCATTCGGACCAACCAAAATGGTATAATGGTATGTGGAGGGTTTCGGAGTGGCTCCCTCGCATCCCTGCATTCCACGACCGACGGTTTTGTCCTAGTTTGGACTTATCAGGTAAAGTAGCCGAGCTGTGAGTGGGACTTGGGGCAAAATGCTTGGCGGCTATCGCCATGATCACTACGCCATTGAGCTCCCTGAGCAATGATTGACGCATCGGTTAAAAGTTGATTTTCGAGTTTTAGAGCACCCGTCGTGTGTCTTGGATTGCGACACGCAATCTCAGTTGTGGCCTCGATTGATTTGGAAGTCATCCTCTGCCAATACGATCACTGGTACCGTCACCGATGTGGAGAGCTTCGGTGTGGTTCTCTCATCCCTGCACTCCATGATCGAAGGTTTCGTCGTGGTTTGGATTCATCGAGCAGAGATAGTCGAACTGTGAGTGGGACTCGGGGCAAAATGCTTAGCGGCTATCGCCATGATCACTACGCCATTGAGCTCCCTGAGCAATGCTTGAAACAGCGGTTAAAAGTTGGTCTTTGGTTTTAGAGCACCCGCCGTGTGTTTTGGATTGCGACACGCAATCTCCATTGTGGCCTTGGTTGATTTTGAAGTCAGCATCTGTGATGGGTTTTCGCCTGTCAAGCGTTCTCCCTATAAAAAGCCACAAAAGTCCGTTTAAAAACACTGCGACGTGGCGAATGTGACTCACCACTGAATAGTCACTGCCCACAACTATACACTGGCAAGTTGATTAGAGTCCTATTTCACTGTTTCCTCGATACGTACAAGAAAAAGACACTCTGTCTACCCATACCATCACCACTACATTTATAGTGCCTTTACTGTTTACTCTACGCACACGAACCCAAATTATCGTCACTTCACTGACGACTTTGTCCCTCATTAGTATTTCTTCCATTTCTGCAGTTTTTACGACTTTCGGCCACTGCCGATTACATGCATAGCAACGTGTCTGTTGCAAAACCTAATTGCTTGTGGATTTTGATCATGCCTGCTTTGGTGTTCCTCGATAAATCCGAGAATAAACTATTTATTTATTTATTTAATACGATCACTTGGATCTTCGCTGAAGTGCTTGACAGCTGTCACCATGATCACTGGGCCACTGAGCTTCGCGTGAAGTTCTTGTCACTGTGGGTATTTTGTTCTGGTGCTCTGCTGCCATATAGCCACTAAATATCACTACGGAAAACTAACAGGTGAGATCTGTGATCTCAAATCATTGAGTCATGTCCCTGTACTATTTCTTAGGTGCTCGGAAGCACCACTCATTGTGATTAAATAAACCGTTGAAGCGCGAAAGTCGTAACGTAGCTTCAGGTCTGTTACGACTAAGCCTGCACGTTGCCTATACATTATCCTTGGTTAACTCGACAGTGTCAAGGGGTCCATCTCGATACTGTCGCGAGCATTGATTAGTATCCAGAAAGCGTTAACCATCGCTAAAATCATCTTTAGGTGACGGTGCAGTCCCCAATTTTTATCGTCTATTCCGTTCCGTTGCTTTCTTTTGTGGGACCAGGTTTTTGGGCCTCACCATCGGCATATCATCACTCTCTCGGATTTGCGACACATCCTTATAATCTAATCTGGTTGCTAATCGTAGTGCTTGTCATTCCAATGAACTCTATCGTGATGCGCCACTCACATAGCACCGGAACCCAGCTCACCAATCGAGTGCTTTTACCTGCAGTAGAGTTTACAACTAATCAGATGTGCTACGCTCAGTACGCGTTTTCGACTTTTTTTTGACTTTTGTGAATGGATAGATTACAAGCCCCCTCAGTCTACCTTGAGTTATCCCCTCAGCTTCCTACATAGTCATTCCGTGAATACCTATAGAAGTGACATTAAACGGAATGTCGCTCGCATTTGCACCTTAGTTATTTTAATTGGCACAAACTAAAGCGTCATCAAGGTAGTGAAGAACTGCGGTCGAATGTATCGCGAGTACCCTTACTAGGTAGTTTCTTATGGAATATTATTGCGTTGATCTAACATTCGTATTTGTAATGAGATGTAAAATGCGTAGCACTACCGCTATGTTGTATCATTGTGTTTTGCAACTCGGCAGCCTCATACTTGGGATCCTGGTACAGACCTTTTGTGAACAAGATATCAGTGTTCCATTGGTCAATGAGCCAGCCGTATACCATTAGGTCCCATGGTTTCACAATCAAATCTAGTCATCTCTATCTGAAGAATCAAATCAAGGATGAAAACAATTGTTACTGAACCGTTCATCCATTCTTGGATTTGTCTTCCACTGATTCCTGCTACGAAACTGTTTATTCTCGCACTGATGATGTCATCTCGAATGCTGGTGAAGCATTTGCAATCGAAATGCCAAGTTCAGTGAACGTCGCAGCAGTTGAACAAGCCTCCAGGGTTATCAGTATTTCAGATAATTTCAATGACGGAACCGGTGACAGAACTCAGCGTTCTGAGCGAGCAGCTCCAAAAACGCCACCGTTTCGGATAGGATCCTAATACTCTAAATAATTGCGGCTTACTTCAACGTCAGTCGTTTACGTTCGTCACAGTTCAAACGCGCAACGATTCTCTAAAATTTCGAATGAAACGAAGTGTCATTAGTGATAGAGCTTACCAGTGAGGGTACCATTCAAGTGGGTGGCGTATAACGAATCTTTTCGGATTTGCTGCTCTCCGACAGGATAACTCATCCTGTTACTGGACACGCATTGAACAGACACTGATTGACAACACTGCCGTCACTCACAACCGACGCACGTCAGGCTGGATTATCTGACGGTCCGTACTTTGACTTTGCTAGCTGTCATGGAGGGTAAAATCTCCTAATAAAACTCATTAATTCAATGAGGCAATGGTGTACAGGCGAAACATCAAGTGGTTTCAGGAACTTTCGCTACAGGTACGTTCGCGTTTATGCGACGCACATACCTACCTCCTCATTGGCTAGCGGAACTGGTCTACCAACCAGGACAACTGACCTAACTGTTCTGATACATGACCCTTGGTTGACATATAAAAATGTCCGTTGCTTTCACACGACTTGTCTTCAAGCGTTGACTTCTGATTTTCTGCTGGGTTTCGGAGATAGCAGAGAACGTGTTCAGTTCAACCGGAATCCCGCAGACAGGTAGATCGTAACACTAGCGCTTTAGTCCACGCAAGTATTTCGCTAATGGACCCGACCTGTATGTATGTATGTAGTCTCAACAGTCTAACAACTAGACAAAGAACCAATAAAGCCATGGAGATTAGCAGATAATGGGAATTCACTGCGTCATAATCATCGTGACATAGTAGTTGAAGGTGCGAAACACACTTCAGCTACTATGCTGCAGGAAGAAAGGAACATTTTGACAAAAAGTGGAACAAAACATTTTAGTTTTTATTTCCCACGTTGCTTTTTCTCCTTTTCGATATTTTCAATGTCTGAAGTATTAAACATGTGAATCAGTACAATTCTGTACACAATCCTTGCACTGATTCCGGTTGCGCGCCATGTCTTCAAGAGTGTTAAGCCATTGGCACTCCTCATCTTTGGGTCCCCATCCTGGAAGACGTACGGGTCCAATAGCGGCTAAACATTACGCCAGCGATTTCAAGGTGTAGAGTCCTAGTTTCTCGCACCGGTCTTCATACCGCAAGCCACGTAAACTCGGGATCAGCCTGGTAGCTACATGCAGATGGAACTGTAATGGAACAAACATCTAAAATCTACAACTGATCCCGTGCTACTTTACCTCGTTGTGTGGTCGTTGTCGCATTGAACCAATGGCTATTTCCATAATAGATAATACCAGTGGCTTATCTGCCAATTCTTCCCACTGTATCTTGCACTTTGAACGTGCGAGGCGCAATGTTACGCGACAACCTATTCAGAAGCGGTTGCAAAAGCGTGGCTCTGTTGCTCCATATATCCCATAATCCTGGGCAGTCATCAACCTTTGAGGGCGCTCATCTGGGACTGGAGACGGTTGCGACATTCCTGGTGTTCTTTGGCTGCTGAACAGATATCTACCCTACAATTCACGTTTCTCCTGTTCCTTTTGTTGGGAAGCTCGGCTCAACTTCATAACTCAGAAGATATGAACACTCTTCAAAAGCGTACTTTTGCATCTGTATCACGTTATTCTACATTAGCCTTGTTTGTTCTCAGTCTTTATGACAGATGTTTATGTCCTTTCAGGTCGAGGTCCCAGAGGTTGTGGCAAAGAAACCGAAACCGAACGAGAACAGTCCAGTGACAGTCGGGTTCAGCGTCCCCTCACCTGCACGCCACGCAGGGATATCATTCAGCAATACATTACACGTGAGTTTTCCTAGTGAATGAGACACTTACAATCATGAACTCATTTCCTGCTGGCATTTTTAGACCCTTTTTAAAATATGATTTTGAATATTGTTTTAACGTAATATCTACTGCCTTCTTTGACTGGACTTTCAGAATAGATACTGATCCTTATTATTCTGAAATCATTTTTGCAAATATACGTTTGTTTTAACTAAGTCGCTGGCCGATTGGTCCGCGCGCCTAGTTTGCAACCCTGAGGTCACCGATTCGAGTCCGCGTAGGATTGGGCCTCCTCGCCGTCAACGGAGCATTACAGGTGATTCCAGGCCACTTGGAGCATCCAAATGGTGGTCTTCGTATCGAAGAGTGTCCACAACACTCTGAAATAGCTTCTAGCGATTGACCTAGAGTGTTGCTGAATGGTTACGGCTCCTGTTATGGAGAGCATTACTGCTTAGAGCAGCCGAGGTCTACTCAAATTCATATGGCACACATCCTATTAGTGAGGCAACAACTGAGAAAGGGTCAATTGATTAACCTACAATCGTGTTTTCTATAACAGTTTGATAGGCTGTTCTACCGGTCCGCTGCCTCAGTTAGTGATTTTACTAACTGATCCTGCACGTTCAACTCACCCCAGCCATTGATGAGGTGATTCCTGGACTGGTTTGTTGGATTCGGACGAGGCACTCAGATCTGATGACTTCCACTGCAGTTAAAAGACGGGACGGCCTATAGTGGCTTGTCTAACCTCGCTATGCGGGGATATTTATCCCAGAAAAGATACCCCTAGGCTAAAGACCATCTTGCGAGCATTGGCGATCAGATCATGTCTTCGATCAACTGTTTCTACGTTCTACATCTAAAACCTATGTCTTCTTTCACATTTCCCTGGGATTTTGTCCATACAATTTTGCTCGCGCTATCCTTCTCTCTACTTATTTCAATCATTATGGTGATGTGCCGGAAAGTGGATCAATTGTTCTGACCAGTTACCTAGTTCGACTGAACAGCTGCTTCCAGACTGCTTGCGTACGCCTTACAGAGTCGGCTTACACCGGTCCACATCAGCGAACGTCTAGTTCTTTTCCATTTAGTACCTGACACATCTCATTCTCTGCGTGAATAGCATGTGACTCATATGTAGCTCATCTTGATAGCATTCCTCCGATTGGAAACTCCTTGATCAGACTGATTTCCGCCCTCTTGCTTTCCGGTGCTTTTTCTGCACCATATATCCTGTGACTTTTGATGGTATATATCTACGGAAAATCGTTCATTGAGGCCACAATCACAAGTAAATGTCGTCAAATCTGTCCCCATTCGTTTTCACTGCTATGTTCACACGCATTGCACGATAATAAAGAATTTATTTATTTACTATGCCCAAACCTTTCTGAAACTATGTCCTGTTTTCTGCCTATTAATCAACTGGTAACCCTAATGTACGCTCTTCGTGTCAGCTTATGTTACTATGCTTGCGCTTCTGGATTGGATGACGCAAAGTGCTGCATGTGTTCCATTCGTTCAAAGTGTAAGGTGCACCTACTGGTCTTGGCCTACATACCACCACTTTTCCATATTGCTGGGAGTGACTGGTCGGTTTATGTGGGTCATTGTACCCAGTTTAATCGTCAATGACTTCATTTCCCGCAGCATAAGCAACTACTGTTCACCTCGAGCTTTGCGCCACCCTACATCTGGCAGACTAAACAAGGCCCTCCTCAGTAAACGGTGACCAGGCACACGTAGTACATGTCAAAGCCAACGCAATTTATTCAGTGCCATCTGTTGTTCTAAGGAAGTAGCTTGCTTATTATTGACTACTACTCGCCTACAAATATAATCGTTGCAGACACGCTGGCGCTACCCGACACCAGCAATGCTCTGTAGACACCGATGATTAAAGACTTGAAGGCGCCTCAGATCTTCAGACCGATGAGGCCAAGTTTTGCTCCCATAGAGCAGGACGGCCTTCATTGTGGCCTTGTATACACGGTCTTTCATATGCAGGGAAAGTCCCTTCTATCGCCAAAGATGCTGCAGGTTCAAGAAAGCAGTTCTGACCTTTGCTCTGCGCGAACTTAGTTCGGTTTCTATGTACCTATCGTTGTTGATGCAGTTGCCAAGGTAAATGAATCGATTAACCACCTCGAGTTCCTTGTTATCGAGAGTCAAAAAGTGGCTGGTGGTCCTGCAGCAACACTTTGCACTTTGAAGGTGCGAAGTGCATACCAAATAATGGTACTACTCTAAAGAGGATATTCAGGTTTGTTTGTGCCTTCGCAACATCGTCAAAAAGCAAGACGATATCGTCCGCGTAATCAAGATCAACTAATCTTTCACCAGGCAGGACCTTCATGTCTACATTCTGAAATCCCGTAAGAGAACACTCATGATGGAGTCCACGACAAAATCTGGAAATCGGACAACCCTGACGAACGCCACTTGTTGTCGGAAAGCTGTGCAGGATAGCGTGGCCTTATAAGGGACTTTTGCCGGTAGACGTTCGACAGGTGCAGTGGAATGGTGGCTGCAGATGGTTCTACTCTAGTGGCACTTCGGTGGCTGTCAATTAAGCTGGGAATTATAGAAGGTAAGTTAGTAATGGGGGTCTGGATGAGAGTAAGAGGAAAAGGTGGAAAAGAAAGAAAGGAGGCGCCAGTAGTAGCATGTTTTCGCTTATCCGCCTTGTTGTATGCAGCAGATAAGGCGACCCTTAATAATCTGCGTGACGGCCGATGCAGGATGAAGTTTATGTTTGAAGAAAATGTCATGTATGTGGGCTGAGATACTGCCAGGGCGCTCAGACTTAGACAAGAGAACGATTAGGGTCCTCATCCAAAGCATTTGGCTCAAAAGCCTGTCCACAAGGCAGCGGGGAGGTGGCAATGATTTAGTTTTACAGAAATGGACGCCATCCCATTTCAAACCTCCAATCTGGAGGACCAGGAGACTGAGTTTGTCTGACCTCTCATCACTGACCAACCTGGTAGGAGTAGCTCTCAAGGTGCCCGGAGGCATCACCTAGTATAGCTTAATGGGTCAATATGGCACGCAAACCGTCGCACCCCGTTAAGGTCCAGTCTTGTTGCGACGGGGATATGAACGCACAAGTAGGGCGTCTGAGCTCTTCAGAAGCTCAGCTGGTGGTAATTATGGACTTAACTCCGAACGGACTGACAAAGGTGAGCGTCTGCTGTAACTGTGTGCGGAGCACCATTGGTTCTTAGTAGCACTGCTTTTAGACACAATCGGAGTCGAGGTGCTGCTTGGCGTCCTCCTGTAGCTAGCCAGCGATGGTCCCAAATAGACCACATAGTCATAAGTTACAGAGGGCGTTGTTCCATCCTGGATTGCCGCTCATACTGGAATACCTGTGTCAACTCTGATCATTGCTTGGTACGCTGTCGTTTCTCCATAAACTTTACTGAGAGGCGCACCAAGCGTCTCCTCCAATTGGCAACTGAGAAATTGTCTCAATCCTCAGTCAGACAAGCCTATCAAGACGCACGGTTAGTTTGGAGCCTCCGTTGGAGGCCGAGGTCCGAAACACGATCACAGCCCTCAATCGTTTTCGTGTCGCTGGCCCGGATTCCCTCCCACCTGCACTATTTAAGGATGGAGGTGAGGTCCTCTGAAAAGCACTGACCTCCCTATTCGAACGTATCTGGAAGGAAGTGTGCCGGTTAATTGGAGCGAATCGATTATAGTGGCAATAAACAAAAAGGGCAGTCGCACAGACTGTGCGAACCACAGAGGTATTAGCCTAACGCCAGTTGTGACGAAATTATTGGCCTCGATTATCGTTCGTTGCCTCACTGCAGAACGGGAATCTCGGATTAGGGAAGAGCAGGCCGGTTTTCGCCCAGGACGTGGCTGTATAGACCATATATTTACTTTGCGGCAGGTGCTAGAGCAGCGCCACGCATAACGCAGACCGACAATAGCTGTGTTCCTCGATTTCAAGAGTGCGTTCGATTCTGTCGATCGATCGATTCTGTTCGAACTCACGAAATATGTGAACATTCTACGTGCTCTACACTCGAACTCTACAGGCCGCGTCAGTGTCTACGGTGGCCTATCGGATAGCTTTCCAACCACAAGTGGCGTTCGTTAGGGCTGTCCGATTTCACCATTTTTGTTCAATTTCGTCGTGGATTCTATCATGGAGTGTTCCCTTGCGGAATCTCACCCTCTAGACGTTTAAGTGCTTCCTGGTGAAAGGTTAGTTGATCTAGATTATGCGGACGATATCGTCTTGCTTTTCGACGATTTTGCGGTGGCACAATCAACCCTGAATAGCCTGTCCAGAGTGGTCCCATTATTTGGTATGCGCTTGGCACCTTCAAAGTGCGAATTGTTGCTGCAGGACCACCAGCCACTTGATGACCCCTTAACGCTTGCTAACGAGGAACTCGAGGTGGTTGATCATTTCACTCATCTTGGCGGCTGCGTCAGCAATGATGGGCACAAAGAAACTGACGTCAGCTCACGCACTGCAAAAGCCAGAGCTACCTTCTTGAACCTGCGGCATCTCAGGCATTATAAGGGAGTTTCCCTCCTTCTGAAAGGCCGGATATACAAGGTCACAGTGAGGGCCGTTCTGCTCTATGGTAGTGGGACTTGGCCCCTTCGGTCTGAAGATCTGAGGCACCTTCAAGTCTTTGATCATCGTTGTCGGCGAAGCATTGCTGGAGTCGGATGGCACCAGCGTGTCCGCAACGATGATGTGCGTAGGCGAGTACTAGGTGGTGATAATCATGCTAGCTCCCTAGAACAACAGATAGCACTGAATAAGTTGCGTTGGCTCGGGCACGTGCTACGTATGCCTGGTCACCGCTTACCTAGGAGGGCCTTGTTTAGTCTGCCAGGTGTAGGGTGGCGCAGGGCTCGAGGTGGACAGAAGTTGACTTGGCAGCGGGAAATGAAGTCACTGACGACCAAACTGGGTGCCATCGGTCCCTCTCGCCTTCCGGGCTGGAGTCCACGTGACTCGCCTTGTGCTTGGCTCGAGGTTTTACAGGACATGGCTCGCA